TAAACAGTCCTGCCCTCCGGGCCCCTGCGGCTGCAGCCCCGGGACATGTGTGACAGCGCCGGGCCGGTGCCAGGCCCACAGCCCCATGCCAGCCGGGCTCGAAGGGCCGCGGGACTCCCTGGCAGCAAAGCTCAGAGCTAGGGTTGACAACCCTTCCGGTTTGGCTGGGAGTCTCTCGTAATCGGGCTCGATCTCCCGGAAGCTACTGAAGCCAAGCCGGGAGATTTTAGGCCACTAAAAGTCCGGTGGCGCAGGAAGTCTAAGAAGTCACCTACTACAGGACAGGCCCAACAAAGAAAGTAACAGAACGCCACTAGCTGCCACCTTCAGCCCCCAACTGAAACCTCTCCAGCGCATCATCAAGGATCTACAACCTATCCTGAGGGACGATCCCTCCTTCTCACAGACCTTGGGAGACAGGCCAATCCTCGCCTACAGACAGCCCCACAACCTGAAGCAAATACTCACCAGCAACCACACACCACACAACAAAAATACTAACCCAGGAACCAATCCTTGCAACAAAGCCCGATGCCAACTCTGTCCACATATCTATTCAGGGGACACCATCATAGGACCTAATCACATCAGCCACGTCATCAGGGGCTCCTTCACCAGCACATCTACCAATGTGATATATGCCAACATGTGCCAGCAATGCCCCTCTGCCATGTACATTGGCCAAACCGGACAGTCTCTACGCAAAAGAATAAATGGACACAAATCAGACATCAAGAATTGTAACATTCAAAAACCAGTAGGAGAACACTTCAACCTCTCTGGTCACTCAATAACAGACCTAAAAGTGGCCATTCTTCAACGAAAAAAACTTCAAAAACAGACTCCAATGAGAAACTGCAGAACTGGAATTAATTTGCAAACTGGACACCAGCAAATTAGGCCTGAATAAAGATTGGGAGTGGCTGGGTCACTACAAAAAGTAATTTTCCCTCTGTTGATACTCACACCTTCTTGTCAACTGTTGGGAATGGGCCATATCCACCCTGATTGGATTGGCCTCGTTAGCACTGACCCCCCCACTCGGTAAGGCAACTCCCATCTTTTCTTGTGCTGTGTATTTATACCTGCCTGCTGTATTTTCCACTCCATGCATCTGATGAAGTGGGTTCTAGCCCATGAAAGCTTATGTCCAAATAAACTTGTTAGTCTCTAAGGTGCCACAAGAACTCCTCGTTGTTAGGGCTAAAACAGGCTCCCTTCCTGCCCTGGCCCCGCGTGGCTCCCGAAAGCGGCCGGAATGTCCGGCACCAGCTCCTAGGAGGCATGGCCAGGGACTCTCCACAGCGCCTGCTGTCCCTACCCCGAGCGCCGACTCTGCAGCTCCCATTGGCCGGGAACAGGGAACCATGGCCAGTAGGAGCTGCAGGGGCAGTGCCTGCAAGCGGGGCAGTGCGCAGAGCCCCCTGCTCACCCCTGAGTCTGGGAGCTGCTGCCCGACATGCCGGCCACTTCCGGGAACCGCCTGAGGAAAGTGCTGCGGGCCAGAGCCCGCACCCCTCGGCCCCTCCTATACCCTAAACCCCCGCCCCAGCCCTGAGCCCCCTCCCACACCCAAACTCCTTCCCTGAGCCCCTCAGCCCCTCCTGCACCCCAACCCCCTGCCCCAGCCCCCACCCTCATCCAAATTCCCTCCCAGAGCCTGCACCCAGAACCCCCTCCCATACTTCACCCCCCTGCCACAGGCTCAGCCCAGAGCCCCCTCCCCCACCCAAATTCCTCCCAGAGCCCACACTCCCCTCCTGCACCCCAACCCCCTGCCCCAGCCCTCAGCCAAACTCCCTCCCAGAGCCTGCACCCCGAAGCCCCTCCCGCACCCCAACCCCCTGCCACAGGCTCAGCCCAGAGCCCCCTCCACCATCCAAACTCTGAACAGGCCACAGGGCCTGAGCCCCCCTTTTGGCTGCGGGGGTCCCTCCTGAGCAGGGGCGGTGAGTGGGAACCCGGGGGGTGTCGGGTCACAGGGCTGTCCCGCTGGCACCCAACATTACCAGATTTCCTAGCCCTGGGCCCAAGAGGGATTGGGGCAGATGGGGGGCAGGCCCCACGCACTGTCCCAGTATGGGGAGGGGCCAAGGTTGCCCTGGGATTCTAGGATCTCCACGCTCAGAACAGCCCCCAGGGCAGATGGGCCCACGAGACCCAGAGGGCAGAAGGGACTCGCCCAGCTCAGAGCAGCTCAGTGGTGGAGTCGGGAACAGAACCCAGGAGTCCTGACTCCCAGCCCTGTGCACTAACCCTTGAGTCTACGCCGCTCCCTGCACCACAGCGCCCTCTGGCGCTGCACCAGGGGATTGGGGCTGGCACTGACAGCCAAGGGAGAGCGCCCCCTGCTGAGGCCCCACGCTGCTCCCTGCAGCACCTGGAATTTCCCCGAGGGACTCCCATGCAAACACCAACGCCCCCCGCTTAGCTCCTTAAAACTGAACATATCCCAGGCACAAGGTAGGGGTGTTCCCAGCTTCTTCTTCACCCCCCCACCACGATCCTGTTACTGCCCTGGCAACCCCCCCAATCCTCCCCCCCCCCCCCAGGAAAGCCCCCCCCTTCTGCCCCCCCCCCAAGAACCAGCCAACCTGCTCTTTAAACAAAAACAAACAGAAGAATCAGTTTATTGACAAAAAACAAAGAGAATCACAAACTGATTTGACCCCCCCTTTCCCCCCCACCGAGGTGCCCGAAGCTGGGAGCGTCCCCGACCAGACACCCCCGTGTCCTACACTCCCCCCACCCGACACCTGCTCCCCATTGCGCCCATGGGAGCCTCCCTGGCTCATCCCGCTGGGTCCAGGCATGGTGGGGAGACCCAGAATGGTGGGGAAACCGCCCCCCAAGAATCTCTGCCCAAATAACCTCCCAGCCAAGGCACAGCTCCATGGGGCCCCCAAGCCAAGTGGGGACAGATCCACGGGGCCCCCACTCCAGGCATGACAGGGGAGCATCTATTCCCCCTCCCGGACCCTTTCTACCTTTGGCCCATCCCACACCACGGGGTGCCCCCAGCACACAGTCCCCTGGCTGTGGCCTCGTTTCCGTGTGCACCCGCTCAGCATTTTGGTAGGAAAATTCCCCTGCCCCAGGGAGCACGGGGTCCGTGGGGGGTCCCCCATGGAAACCAGGGTCTAGGCACTTTTCTCTCCCACCCCCTTATTCCCAGCTCCCTGGGGTGTCCAGCCTGTTTCAGGTCGCTGCACTGCCCACCAAGGAAAGCTCCTTGCCTATGATGGAAATCCAGTGGCTGGGGCGGGGGGGGGGCGGAAATCAGCGAGGACCCCTTAAAGGGGTAGCTGGCTGGGCAGGGCGGGGCGGGGTCACCCACAGAACTGCTCCTCTTCCTTTTCCCCACTCCTTATGACTTTTGGCCTTGGAAACACGGGACGCCGGTTTGTTATTGTGGGATTGCACAAGGGTCGTTGTTGTCATGGGGATTCGGGGTGCCCCTGGCTTGTTTCTGGGGGGCTCTGAAAGAGGAGCACTGATGAAAGGGCAACATCCCAGCCCTAGGCTGGCTGAGCAGTTACAGGGCCAGCCTCCCCACTTTACAGAAGGAAACTGAGGCACGGACAGGTGAAGTGTCTAGGCCACAGCTGCACGGCAAACTCGTAGCAAAGCCTTGGATAGTACCCCGGTGTCCTGGCTCCCAGCCCCCTGCTCTAACCACTAGACCCCACTCCCCTCCCCAAGCTGGGGATAGAACCCAGGAGTCCTGGCTGCCAGCCCCCTCCTCACAAACAGCCTGGATCCTACAATCAGCAACAACAATAAAGGTAGGCCCTACTATAAATCAACCCCATCTCCTCTCAATGCAGCTCCTCTGGCCAAGGAAGCTGGGGTTCCCCTGTTCAAACAACAGGAACCCCAAATCTCTCCAGAGCAGTGTCTTCCCAGGTTTTTGAACCCAGGAGTCCTGACTCCCAGCCCCCCCTCCCCCGCTCGAAAGGAGTAGTGGGGACTGGTTGTGCACTGGCATCTGAATATGGGGGGGTGGGGTGGGGATAGGAGCTAGTTCTCGCTGCGGGCTCAGTTGTAACTCTGCGCGCTACTGAGAGCCCATGTGACATTAGTCTGGTGGGTCTCGTTCACTACCCCATCCACACCATGCAGCCAAGCAACCTCTGTTCGTGACTCCCAGTCAGGCTCAAGGGGCATCAGCAAGGGGCTGCGGGTCGGGAGTGAGGGGCACCGGCAGAGCTGG